AATAAGAATAATCAAAAATATAATAATAATAAAAATTAAAATTAAATCAAATCAAAATAATCAAAACAAGAAAACAAGAAATGAAAATATGAATCAAATGAAAATAATTAAAATAAAAAATAAGAAATAAAGAAATAATAAGAATAAAGAAGAATAATAAGAAAGAAAAGAAATATAAATAATATTAATAATAAATTAAATTAAAATAATAAATGAAAAATATAATAATAATAATAAATAATAAAAATATGAAAGAATAAAGATAATAATAATATAAAATGATGATATTAAAGAAATTATTAAAATATAAAATAAAGATAAAAGAAATCAATGAAATATAGAATAAATTCATTTTAATCTAAATCATTTAAATAATTAAATAATAAAATTATTTTATAATATTGAAATATTTCATAAATAAAATAAAAATGAACAAATAAAAGAATAGAGAAAAATAAATAAAAGAATGATAAATAATAAAATAAAATAATCAATATATTAAAAAGAAAAAGAAAAAATTATATATATAAATAAAAATTATAAAAATAAAAATGAATAAAATAAATTGCATAAATAAAATAAAGTTAAATAAATTGCATCAATAAATTAAACAGTTTTTATTTCATATTTCTAATTTCTGTAATAAAAAATGTATCATTTATTTCATCATTATTTTCATCATTTATTATCTCATTTTGAATTATTCCTTTTTATCTTCTTTCATTTTATATTTTCTACTTTCTAATTTTATTCTTTTCATCTTCTTCTACTTCCTAATTTCACTTTTTTCTTTTATATCATTCTTTCTCTTCCTTTTTCTCTTATTTCCTTTTTTTTCCTAGCCGAAATGAAATATTCATTTATATAACTTATTATTAATAAAAGATAAAAGATATATACTATAATAAATACAACTTGCTATAAAATATATTTTATGGTTATAATTTGAAAATTAAACAAATTATTATAAATAAATACATCAAAAAATGGAAATCAAACAAGTGGGCATTTTAGAAGATGGTTCGAGTCAAAAGGGGTAGATAAAACTACTACAATCAATGCACTAAAGTCAATCAATATTAAAAAGAATGTATTTCTTTAATTAACTAAAATGCAAGATGGAGCAATATTTAGTGGGTACAGGAAAGATAAAATATTAAAAAATGAAAGATTGAAGTACTGCCCACTTTGTAAAGACAAGATAGCCACAGTAGAACACATTCTACTATCTTGTATTGGTCATAAGAAATCACAAATGGAGAAACATGACCATATTGGCATTATCATATGGGGTTAATAAGAAAATACACAGGAAATAAACAATACAAGAAACCCCCATATGAAACAGTGTTCCAATACAATGACATCACTATGATATTGAACAAACAAATAATGCAAAAAAGTGATGGACTATATCATAAAAGACCAAATATATAACAAATAAAAAGAATAAAACTGGTCTAATAATTGATATGACTATTGTGGCAGATCATAATATTAATGGAGGCTATTTGAATAAAAGAAATATGTATAAAGAAATGAAGAATATGGTAATTAAAATAGAGAAATTAAGAAATCAAAATAATTCCAGTAGTAATTTCAATAAATTAATTAGTAAATGCGGAAAGTATTAAATTAATTAAACAATTAAAAATCGAAATTGACATCATTAAAGAAGTTAAAAAACTTGTAATTAAAAACATGATGGACGTCATGGAACACTGAATCTACCACAACCAAACATATGATGTTGAACTACATGACGAAGGCTCATTGAGAAAGTTAGTCTCCACTGAATAACAAATAATAAATACAATTCTATTAATACTTAATTAATTGATTATTATTAATTTGAAACATATATTTTAATTTTATTTAAACTAAAAAGAAACTAATTATGGTTTTCATCATGTTCAGAAATGAATGACTTAGTTTCTTTAGTGTCTTTATTTCTATTGAAATAATGTTTTTCAATCATTCTCAAATTGAATAGTCCGTCATTTAAGTTGTTATCTGATTTTTATTTTGAAGTAAATGAGTATTAAAACTCTTCATTATTTATAATGTTATTTTATATTGAACATATCAATAAAATTATGATTGTGCCTCATCTTTTTTATCATCAGTACCATTTAAATAATCACTTTTTCTTAATAACACCACCATATATTCAACTCAAAACTATCTTTAATAAATATATTTGCATGTTAATAAATAATAATACCTAATAATAAATAAATAACACTCCATAATGTCACTCATAATAAGTAATAATAATAATTCATAACCAAATAGTCTTGAGTAAATCGTTATCCAATCACAGGAAAGTCATGACCAGACGATAGCTGGTGTTTCAAAGCTTGGATTTATTAAGATTTTATGTGGTATATCTTTTAAACATATTTATATAAAAAAATAAGAAATTAAAAATACAAGAACTACAAAACCATTTATAATTTCTTTTTTAAAGATGACTTTAGACTTTGATATTTTCTTATCTGTATTAACATTTACTACACAAAAACATCCATTCCAATTAAGAAAAGGTGTACAACCTATGTTGAACACCCAATTAAAGTATGTAAAATATTAAAAGATGCAGGTATTATTGATAGTTGGTGCATTATTACATGATACTGTAGAAGACACAAACAACACATTGAAGAATTAGCAGAACATTTTGGTAAACAAATTACTCAATATGTATGTGAGGTAACAGATAATAAAAAACATGATAAGGTAACAGGAAAAAACTACAAATTGAGTATAGTAAAACAATTTCTTAAAGAGGTAACATGATTAAATATGCAGATAAAATACACATGGAACCAATCATTTCTACTGTGCCATGCCCATTGTTTGTTTTATTCTTTATTAATTAAAATAAACTTAAATAAATTTAAATTAATAAACAAGTAAACCATACGAAGTAGCCCAAAGGTGTATAGTTTGGGGGAAAAAAGTAAGTGAAGTATTCAGAGGTTTAAATAGTATATTGGACAAGATGAAATTTTAAAGGGGAATATAACAGATGATAATGGAAAAATTTATCCTGCTTTACCAGAAGGAAATCTAGACGAATTTTTACTTCATTATTACGATTTTTAATTCATAACCAATAATAATTTATATTTCTTACGTTAAAAAAAAGGAATTTTGAATTATAAACAATTTCTTTTATTTAATTGTTTTATAAAATAATAGAAAATTATTGTTTTATGGAAATAAAAATTAAAAACTCAAAATTGAAGAAAAAAATTATAAATATGAGTGATAGTATTCAATCATCAATTAAGAATTTAATGAATTCTTTTCAAATTCAAATAGAAAATGAATTAATTCAATTAAATGAAACATTAAAACATCCATTAATGGAATTAAAACAACAAGAATTAAAAATGGTGTTAAATGTTAATGATTCTATTGAGCAATTAATTAAAGAAATAACATTTTTATCTTCAAGTTGTTCAATGGGAATTCCAAAAAATCAAATTCAAATACAACCATTTCACTCAATTGGTTGTGAACAAGAAATTGATAAATTTATTCAAAATTGTCTTGAACAATTAACATTAATGAGAGTTATTAATCAAAATATTTATGATGCTTATAAAAAGATGCAAAATATTATTTCTAAACGAGAAACATGTGAGAAATTAATGCAATCATATATTAATCATACTCAATCAATGCAAAATTGGTTAATATCAAAGAATTAATATTGTTTGGTTTAATTAAAGTATTTTATTGTTTCAATTATAACTTAGAAATCTCTTCTTTCATTAATGTATTCTCTTTTATAACCATTTGATACTTTTTTAAAAGTTCTATTTTATCATATTCATTAAATGTTTCTGCATTTTTAAATCTTTCAAATAAAGCAATTCCATTTTCTCTTTTAATATCAAATAAGTTTCTTTGTTGTGAAATTTCTTTTTTCATTTTTGTTACAGCGTCATCATATATTTTTTGATCTATCGTTAGTTTATTTCCATTTATCTCTAATAAAAATGATATGGCACCATATAGATTAGTAATATAATAAGAATATTCTCCATTAATATCTCCTCGCTGTGAAAATGCAGAAAGATAAGATAATGTTGATGCAAGATGAGTTGTGTTTGCTCTAATTACTATGTAAATAAATGAAGGTAATAATATATCAGCAGTTACTGAATCACCAGGTGGTAATAATGAAAAAGTTAATGATTGAAGTACTTTAAATGCATTAGCTAATTGCATAAGTTTTTGTGATGGTGTTTTAAAATTATTCATTTTTCTTAATATTGCAATTATTTGTCTAATTCCTTTTTGACTAGAAGGTTCATCAAGGAAGTTAACATCTAAATGACTTGCATGAATGAATTGATGAATTTTAATTATTTGTTCAAGTTTTATATCATTAATGACTTCTTTACTTGTTTGAAATTTATCATAACAAGGAGGCCAAATATACTCAAATAACATTGAACTAAAGATATTCTCTAAAATTTTTCTTCCAAGTTCTGATTCATTTAAATTATTATTAAATCGTTCTTGAATAGGTTGAGGTAACTTCTTTTTTACTCCATCAACAACTCGTTGTAATAACCTTGCACGTTCTTCCATTGATTTACCTTTAACAAGGTCTGGAAATTGTGTTTTTGTAGCATTTATATACATCATTATTGTTTCATCTCTCATTGAATCTGCGATTAATTGAGTTATTTCGCTCTCTTCTTCTTTAACATTAGAATATAACCACATAACATTTTCTTCTTTAAATATTCTTTGTAGACGAATTTTTTCTTTTGCCTCAGCTTCTTTTCTTGATTTTACATCATTAGAAATTTGTTTAGGAAGTAGTTTATTTGAATTATACTTTCTAGTTACTTCATTAATATTTTCTATACTCATTTGATTAACGTCAATTTCTTGAATACACACAGGACAATACATAGGCAATTTCCATTCTTTTGATACATTTTCTGATAAATATCCCCATTCACATCCTTCAAACCTCATTGTTTGTGATATAAATAATACAGGAAAAAATCCTATAGAAGTCTCACATGAACATCCTTCAATTATTGATGCCCCACCATCAGCTATTTGAGTTATTTTTGGTTTCATTTTATCAAATAAAAATCTATCACTAATAAGTTCAGGATGAATAACCATAGGAAATGGTATTAATTGATCACTGTATGGAGATAATCCTTCAGACTCTATCTTTCCATATATTCCATTAATAGAAACAAAATCTTTTTTACCACCTTGTCTATAAATCATATGTGAAGCTAGAAACTCAACAGATAAAG